TCGAATCGATATTGAACCCGAGGCGTTCTGCACGACAGGCGAGTGCTGTTTCAACTGAGGTAAGGTGTTAATGCGATAGATATTACTAGTAAGATACTGTTAAATAAATTTAATTACTACATAGGCGAGAAATCTCAGATCCATTTTTATAGAAAAATCGATGATATGACAACCATTTCAAAATAGAGACATCGGGAAAATAATGGTAAAATGTAGAGTTACACACAAAATGTATTATAGGCTAAACCATTTTTATACTAACACTGACATGCAATTTCCCTTTTTTTAAATTCATATTAAAGCTCTCCACGAGCTACACGAGAGCTATCTGCGCTAGCCGTCCCTAAATTAGCAGTGTAAGATTAGAGGGAAGGCAGCTAGTCATCACCACCCACCGCCAACTCTTGGGCTACTCTTTTACCAACGAATAGTGGAATTGACCGTCACATTATAATGCCCCACAGCTGAAAGGGCAAGCATGTTTGGTGGGACGAGGATTTGAAACCGCGACCCGCAGATTGGGAGTCGAGCACCCTAACCACCTGGCCAAGCCGGGCCTAGTTAATTCTGATAAAACTGGATTCCACTGAGGTTACATGGTATGGCTGTACAATCCCCACTACAAGAAAAGATGAACTGGTAGGGCTATATGCTGAAAAGAATCAATGATGTGGTTAACTAAAACCAGAAAGATAGGTGATTCAAGCCAAAGGTCATCCATCATGATCGTCTTTGGAAGTATGTTGGTGAGAGAATGGCAAACTTGGTAGTCCCAGAGAACTTATCAGCAGAATCTCTACCTGCAGAGGAACCCAGAGTTTCTGTCAATAATACTTTTAGAGGATCATTAAGGTTGGAGCTGTCATTAGATTCAGTTGACCATCCACCCAAGAGGAACTGCCCCAGCAATAGGGCAATGACAACAAGGACCAAGATATTTCAACCTATCCATATACCATGAGTATTGGAAGAGAAAACCACCAAAAATGACTTATTGAATGGACAATATAATGTAGTATTAAATTTTATTTTTTGTATTAGAATTGTTCAATGGATTTTACAATCCAGAAAAGAAGCAGTGTTATAAGCTATATTTTTAATGCTTAATTTAAATGTTAGCTGGAGAGAGCTGTGATGACGCTTAGATGGAAAGCGTTAATAAGGTGGGACTAGAACACCTAAGAAGTTCTAAGAATCTGACGTCAAATTTTTTCTAGAATATTCGAAGGTAGATTATAAATACGAGATAGATGTGAAGTGTGTAGAGTTTTTCGAGATAGAGGGTTGAATCAGTGAGTGTGTTTTCATGAAGTATTAGGTCGTCATGAAATTAATGTCCCTTTTTTAGATGAAAAAACCCGAACAAATTATATATATCAAAACAAAACATTTATTAAATGAAATAGTATCCATTTCCATCGATGATGCTTTTCCATCTTACAATCAGATTGTTAATGCCCTGATTAAAGAAATCACTTGGCTTTGAAGCAAGAAACATGT